AAAAAAAAAAGAAATTAAATAAAAGAGAAATGGCATAATGAAAAAAAAACGAAAAAAAAATGATATTTGGTAATAAAAAATTTGTTAAAAATTTCGAAAAATTATGAATTTTTTAACATTAACATACATTCATTCATTCATAGAAAAATTTTTTTTTTTTTATAAACGAAATTCATTTTTCTCTTTTTTTTTTTTCCATTTAGTAAACAAATAACATTAAAGAAAATATTGAATAGCAATTAATCTCTTAATGATGTATAAATAAAGCTATAAAGGAAAGAAAAAAAAAACGAAGAGGGAAGGTAAGGTTCAACTGATTTCATTTTTTTTTTTCTTAACCGTAGAAAAAAAATTATTTGCCAATAAAATGATGCATGCTTAGATTTGGTAATTGACAAATTTCTGAAAATGATGGTCAAAGTTTAGTCGTTGTCAAAAAAAAAAAAAAAAGGCGCATTTATTACTACTAAGTGATGTTACTGAAATCTAATGCCTATGGAAAAAAAAAGAAAAAAATCTTAAGATATGAAAATTATTCTGCATCTATCATTTAAATAGCATAAATAAAATTAGCAAAATTTATAAAATTTCATAGAATAGATTCATAAAATAAGTATGCTATCATTAACTTATCACTGTCATTTTAAGTTTTCATTTCTTTTTTTTCTCGTTTGTCATAAAATTTTATGAAAATCGAAATTAATGATTTAAGTAATTTCAGGATCTATGATAAATTATTTATTTCATATGGAATTTAAATACAAAATTAAATTTTGAATTATTTTTAGGAAAGATCATTTTTTGAAGAGAAGCAATAGGATAGGAAGCATTAGCTTGAATACAAATGTTCGTCATTACTTTGCATTCTCACTAACAAAGAAAATGTCAATTATTAATAGCAGTTTAAAAAACAGAAGGAAAAAAAGAAGAAAGAAAAAACGGCGAAGGAAGAAAGGAAAATTTGAAGTGGGAAAACTAGAAGTAATTAAAATTAGATTTATATTAGTGCAATATCATATATCATTAATTTTAATGGATCATATCATAAAAGTTAATCAACAATTATGACTGGATTAAAAATATGCATTAACTATACATTTCTTAATGTCTTCTTATTTAACACTAATTTACACTTGATTATTTATCAATTTTTACAACATTTAATTGCAATTTCACTATTATTTGTTAATGACAAAAAAAAAGCTTTTTTTAATTTTTTCATTTTATTTCAAAAATTACATCCTGAATTCAATTTAGGATGTAATTTTTTAAATAAAATATGTATC